GTTCAGCCATAACTTTAAACTTTTCCTGCTCATACATGCTTGGAACGATCTTGCCACTAAAGTGGACGCGCAACAGGATATCATAGCGTGGCTCAAGCACGTTCATCATAGTTTAAACCACTTGTTTTGCACAACGGAATACGGCCTCCCATCTGCAGCTAAACACCCCAGTAGCTTTTGTAATGACTTTAACCCGGTCGGACTGGGCAGCAAAAGGCTGCTTAAATACCGCAATTTCCTCTGCTCCTCCACTTGGACGGCTAGCGCTGGCCATAACTATCGCTCGACAGACCCACCACGCGCACCATACACATACTTTTTTTCTTCTTTTTCGAATCTTCGGATCACGTGCGTGCCGAACCGTGGAGTGGGATCGATTCGGATTACGGATCAACCGTGATCCGTTGCACCACTACTTATTACACTGGCGCAACAACGTTGAATCATTTTTCTTCCAAAAAAATGTTTTTCCTGGACGTCTTGAGTGGTCCTTTTTAAGTCACGCTATAATACCTGTATTTGGTCAGGGCCCAAAAGATGAGTTCATGACTTCATGCTCCTTCTAAGGTTATTTGAAACTTGTTGTGATTGGTTGTGATTGTTCACATGTTGTCAGGATTCACACTTTATGGGGAGAGACACTGTGACAACTCAGGCTTCTAATCACTGTGTTTCCTTTAATTTAGGTTAAGATTAAGATCAGAACACAGTTCAGTTCACAGAAGTTGAGAAACTTTTCTATGCAACCGAAATGTTGTGTTTTGGTGTCTCTGTTCCTTCATTGGTATCTGAAGCAGAGTCTGCCAGCGTCCCCCTGGATGACCTGGAAGAAGGAGGGTTTATTTGAGCTTTTTGGTTATTTTGCACCAGAAAGCATCATGTTGCAAGACCTTAAAAAATGGATCATGTCTTTAGTTTTTGGCCGAATTCGAATCATTGTCAGTTTTACAGTTTTCTTCTCAGCCTCTGCCAGAGCAGCACATTTTTGAAACTCTACTGGTTTGTCTTCAGACATTCCAGGCTGTCCATGTGCGCATTTGTTTTTTTTAAATGGATGTTTCATTGGTTTTGTTTGTATTTTTATAGGTTGTTAGCAAACTACCTGAACAACTGAATTGGCTAGTACTAATGAAAATCTTAGCATGTTAGCTTGGTGTATGTATGAATATTTACTTATTTGCAGAGTTAGGGTATCGTGCTTATATCAAAGGATGACAGCAGATCTTTGAGCAGTGTGCATCATAGATGCTAATGTAACCAGAGGACCACAAAAACAGGGTTAGTTTGCAGATGTGAAACTTTGAGAAAAATTTCAGCCCCATAAGAGGTTTTAAAAAAAAAAAAAAAAATAACGTCACCACACCCACATTTATGGCCACCCTACAGATCTGTACCTCTGACAGCCAAAAACAAATCCTGAGTGTGCTCTTCCAAACATGTGCTCCTGGGTGTGGTGCAGAAAAGTAGTCTCAAGTGTGACTTCTGCTGCGGCTTGTTTTTGTTACTTGAGAAGTTAGTTTGTTAGATTCTTTTTTTAATTGTTATTTTAACATGCAATCAGCAGCCAGCACACACAGCAGTTGACATTTCCTCAGCTTCCTCCGACTGTGTCAATAGCTCGCAGCTGCAGAACCAGCTCCATTGTTGTCGGTGCCGCTGTGTATGTGTGTGTGTGGGTTTTGTGTGTTTTTTTTTTTTTAAGTTGTGTGTGTGTGTTTGAGATACTTTGATGGTCTTCTGGCAGGTAGGAGTGCCGCTTGTTTGTGTACTGTAACCATGCTTGAACTGAAGCCTAAAGTGTCTCCTATGCTGGGAAAATGAGGCTGTCTGCTTTGGCTGCAGGAAAATGAACTCGTAGAGAGCTAAAACTGTAACAGGGGATGTTTTTTTTTTTTTTTCCTATTTGCATGTGCTTACTATAAAAAAAAAGAACTCTTGACCTGCATGACCTTAGTGCACGAACACGCTCACACACAAAAACTTGTAAATGTGCTTCCTGTGCCTTAAATTCAAACTGGAATGAGAATGCTTAATTTAAAGCCAATACTGGCATTACACTAATATAAGTTGTTTTTATATATATATATATGTGTGTGTGTGTGTGTGTTTGTGTTTGTTACTTTTAAAAATAATTGTTTTAAGGTGGGGTTATTTGATCTCTTATATGATTTTAAAGGTTTTCTTTTTTTGCTTTCCATGCTGAAATTCTTGGAATAATTCAGAGCTTGAGAGAAATGATTTCTGGACAAATCCCTACATTTCATTAACAAACCAGTAAATTTGAAAATAATTTCGAGCGATGTCAACACACTGTTGAAGCACATGGCTATCAACACAAGCTCGTGCAATTGGCTGAGAAGTGAGAGGAGGGAGTGAGCGGTGACGGCACCAGCAGCATGATGACTGACATTAAAAATGATCACAAATAAAGTGTTATGAAATGTAACTGTCCTATGAAAAAATTACAAGTGTTGTGGTTAATCACTTTTGCTTTCTAAATTTGTAGCTTTCTGAACACGTCTAATGTGACTTCATCCCCCCCCCCCCTTCCTCCTGTGTCTCTCTCACCAGGGCTATGTCCTCGGCAGCCACCACAGCTCCCTCTGTGGACAAAGTGGACGGATTTTCACGGAAGTCTGTCAGGAAGGCCAAGCAGAAGCGGTCGCAGAGTTCGTCCCAGTTCCGCTCTCAGGGCAAACCTATAGAGCTCACGCCCTTGCCCCTGCTCAAGGGTAAGTAGAAACACATGTTTGCGTGTATGTGAGAGAAATCTGTGGTTTGTGGGGTGAGAGGCACAAGGGATGATTACCAAATCAAATACAAGTAACATCCAAAAGGCCCCTCTAGCTTTGTTTCTGTTAATCTAATTGTACTGAATTTGAACCCTGGTTCACTGACTCAGTTTCATTGCGTGTAACGTACACAAAAGTGTTATTATATTCAGACATTTTCATATTTCACAAGTATATTTTTTCAAAATTAATGACTAAATTAATGTAACATAAATGTCTGGATATAGGCTAGTCTAGCATTAATCAATCAGCTGAAATAACAGCTGTGATGAGCACTCGAAATCAACATAAACTAATGCTGAAGATCCAACAGTTGATAAGTCATGACTGGAATATTATTTTCACCACTATATAAGCTAACTGGATATGCTTTGCCTCTATATCTGTTACACTAGTCAGAGGCTCTTTCAGGGACTTCCTCTTTTTCACATTTTTTATGTGTTAAATAATTTGATGACAATGCCACATTAGCAAATAGCCTCCATAAGCGCACACAGTTTGCAGTATTTTTTTGCAAAGAAATGGGGGATAAAATGTGCAAGTCTACTCTTTGGTGAAATGATACTAATGTTCTGAACATACAGCAGAGAAATTAAATGAAAGTAGGCTATCGATCACATCACACAGGTATTCATCCAATACCAATAACAATGATGGTATTCATAGCATTGATCATTTGTATCAATCTGCCCACCCCAAGTGAAAACTAAGCCAGCAAATGGCAAATTTCCCCCATTATGCTTAAGCGGCTACAGCAGTAATTACTCAGAATAAAGATTTGTTCTGATTAGTTAAAATCAAGCTGAGCAGAGCAGATGATAGTTATGTGTAAACCCATGAAGTTTGATATTTAGGTAAGTAAAATGTCTTAAATGTGAAGTGAAGATTCATTCGTGGTAGTGTTAAACTTCTCTTCAGGGTTTTCAGGGCTTTGGGTGTGGCACCCCCCCTCTGGAAAAATTGGGGTGTTCTAAAACCTTTGACCGGTTGTGTATCTGACAGAAAATAAGCAACTGCATAATGTTTTCACCTGTGAATAATTTGTGTGGACACAGTTCCTATCTTAAGTGCACAACACAGGCTTGTGAAAGGGGGACCTTCCAGGGGCTTTAAGCGTAGACGGCTCATTAAAACATCAAGACACTCACCTTCAACTTGTGTTTGTCTCTGCCCATTGATAGCAAATTTAGTAGCATTGCTCTGTATAGTCTGGTTGGATTAGTTCTGTTTGAATGCAGCTGCTTTTCTATGCCAACTATTCTCTGTATGCGAGTGTTTTATTAGTGACATGTCTAGACAGGCAGATCATTTCGATGATTGCAGAGAGAGCAGGTTGGTGCTAGAGGACGACCTGTACAAGTTATACAAGACCCATTCTAAAATTTACTGTGGTATTAAGACAATCCACCTTAAAAATAATCTTGTTTTATTGTCACAAGTAGTCATGGATTACTCAGTTGCTCTGCCCGATTCTGCTCAGGTCAGCTGGTTGTTGAGTTTGTGGGTTTTAAAGCATGTGTCTTACCAAGAGGGAAGTGGCCTCTGTTTGGCAATCTGTGTGACATCAACAGTCATAACATAGTTGAAGGGTGTTTCCCCTGTCTCTTCTTTACTTTGAGTTTTCATTCATTATAAGTTTGCGATACCATTATATCAGCAAATGTCTAATACTGGCTAAAAAATCAGTCTAGAGATGTTCTCATTAAATGCAGGATGTATGTGAGGAATAAGAAGATCATAGGTTAAAATATGATTCCTCAAATGGTTTAATAATAATATACCCTAAGCTTGTTCTTGTTATATGTAGCTGTTTGGCTGCCATGATGAAATGGACTTAACATTTGAACTGCCTTGAACAGAGATTGGCTCCTCACATTTTGTTTAAGCAAGAGGTTTTTTCAAGTTTAAAGTTGGAAACATGGATACATTTTAGTGCTTTTTTTTTTCTTACCTCTTCTGTCCCATAAGGCCTCTTCAAGTTATCATAGAACCCCTGAGAAAGTCCAGAGGCTCAGGTTAGGAGGAACTGCAAAGATCGATTTAAATGGATCTACACCCATATGTATGTTTTTGATCATGCCACATTATAAGGGCATTTGCAGTCTCAGTGTATTAATAAGTAATGGAATGTGTTCAAACGTCACATCTCATGTAACTTTAACCTGCATTGTGACATGCTAAGTGAATAAGGCATGTGTGCTATGTAGCTGGGTGTAGTAATACACAATGTGTTACCCTGATGTTTCACCTGAGTAAATACAACAGTGTGGTGGTGTGGTTTGGTAGTGACAGCAGGAATGCTGTCAGACAGAAACCAGACAGATCCTCCTCCTCTCTGAGACTGATGGAAAGTCACTTCATAGTTCCATCTCAGGATGCAGGAAGAGGCAGAAGTGACTGATGAAGGCAGCTGAAGATAACAGTAGGCTCTCTTGTCTTAAAACTACGTTAAGGTCATCATCTATTACACATAAAACTAACAAGTTACTGCACTTGGTGCACTGAGTTAATCATAATCTCTGTGCTAACTGTCAAATGGTTCTGTTCTCTTATCTCATAGAAGCTTATATTCAGTGACACCTGTGCTGTCTGTATGTGTATATGTAGACGCTGTCAGCACACAGCAACATGCTTGATCTCCACACCTGTGTTGATTACTGTGGTTTCCATGAGCTGCAGATATTTTTAGTAAAGAGGTATAGTCTGTCTGCTAAAGAGAGAAGCAAAAACATCAGGGTAGTTCTAAATGTTTCAAAGAAATGCAGAACTAAATCTAATAGAAAGCCATGCTTCATTTCCTTTTTTGGAAAAGCAGAACAGCAAATCCACCTGGACAATGATAATATTAGGAAATAAAAAACAAGAAACAGAGCAGGTAAGAGTGCTTCAGGTGAGGTCGCAGACTAAATCTCACCTTGGTATACCCTTGGTCTTTTAGTGTGCTTTATAAATAAAGTTATTATTATTATTATTATTATTATTATTATTATTATTAATAAATAAAACATGCTGAAGGTGGGACACATGACGTCCACTCAGTCGCCATAAATTCACGGTGGGAGTTACCCTCTCTGGAATACATCGGAAGTCACACAGACTTTGAACTAGAGACGTGGTGGTTAGAGGAGACTGTTGATGTGTAGAAACAGCTTCAGTGATAAATACAATTAGAACCATAGTGTGTGGAACCACAGTTATGGTATCAGAGAGGAATCCCCCTTCTCAAGTGTTTTTGTGTAGTGAAGCCGTTAAAAAGCAGCAAGTGTACAGCGGATCATATTTCCTGTACTGTTTTTGCAAAAGGCTCTGCTTTCTTCTTCAAAAGGTTGCTTTCAGGAAATTCTGTCCTGTTGTCCTCCCAGTAAACCACCACTGCAAAAAATGCTGGAATCATCGGATAGAGCAGGTTGATAATTAAACAGCAGCACCATTCAGTGTGACCTCAGGTCCTCGAGTACGTGGTTGATACGATTAGTGATTCAAACCATACCCAGTAACCTGTGAGTCAGTTTTTTAAAAGTGACAACCCAGATGCACTTTGTTCTTTAAACAGTCATAAATTCTTTGGGATTTACATTGACAATTAAATATCAAATGCTTTTACAATTAAACCTGTCCCAACCAATGATGTCCTTATTGACTTGATCAGTCTTTTAATATTTTGTGTTTCCTCAAAGAGAGTCACATCCAGTACTTAGTAATTACGCGTTTTCACCATCTGTTTAAAACACTTCTCAGGTTTTTGGCTATACTGACACGATAACATCACACGGTTGCTTACTTGTCAGCACCAAATCCACGATACAAATCTCTTAACTCTTAAATAACCTTGTGTTTTTTTCCACTCCTTATTCTGATGCTCAGTTTAAGCTTAAACAAGGCCATCTTTACCATGTCTAACATACCTGAAAGGATTGAGTTGCTGCCGTGTGATTGGATGATTAGATATCTGTGTTAAGAGGTGTACCTAAGGCCATGTCCACACTAATATGTTTTGGTTTGAAAACGCATCATTTTGGCCTTCCGTCCACACTGAGACGGCGTTTTCAGTCAAGGAAAACGGAGCGTTTTGAAAACCCTCTCCAAAGCGGATACATTTGAAAACTCTATTTTCGCGGCGCAGTGTGGACAGCGAACCTGGAGCCTTTTAAAAAACGATGACATATTTTAGTCATGTGATGCAGTCATGTGACCAATTAAACTAAGATAGCGGAGGGCATTACACAGCAGTTGTTTTGTTTGCTCTCAATTTTGACAGCTCTATTAAAGATTTAATATCAGTGTGTACATGCGCCAGATAGTTTTTCTTCAAATTCTTTAATTCACACTCGCTTTTGCAACTTTGTACTTTTGTGTTACTCGCACCAACAACTCCACCTCATTGTCAGTCCATTTTAAAAAACTCTTTTCCTCGACATTTTGCAGCAACGTTTCAAAGAGCCGGAAAGTAAATAAACAGCAGACAGAAATGAGGAAGGTCGAATTGTATTGCGTGTCACGCATGCGCAGGACTGGAACATAAGCGTTTTTTACCTGTTTCAGTGTGGATGAACAGCTCTATGAAAACGATAGTGTGGACGCGGAGCGTTTTCAGACGTATACGCCGTTTTCAAATTTATCTGGGCTAGTGTAGACATAGCCTAATAGTGACCAATGAAGTGTATGTAAACAGCTAACGGTGGTTTATTTTACAGTCTTACTGTATTTATTTGTGGTTCAGTGACTGAGCCGGCACACCGTCCGTCTTTTTCAACACTTCCATGGTTCAGTTTCACACGTTCACTTTGCATTCACACACATCCACACATTTCCCACCTCCTCAGTACAATCACAGTCTGCTGCTCCTGACCACCGCCTCAGCAGCTCCACTGGAGCTCCACTTTTAGCCCCGGACGGTCTCTTTACCTATTATGGATTTGAATTTTTGCTGTTATTCATTT